TTTTCCTAATAAACAATCGTGGTACAAAGCTCAATAAAAATATTAAAAATAAAATGTCAACAAGCCACAATAACATTGACAAAAGTATTTTAAAATACAAAATACAAATACTGATTGAAAAAGTATTTACAAAAAAATAAAAAATACTCTGTTAAAAAGTATATATATACAAAATACAAATACGTAGTTTGTATTTGTATTTTAAAAACTTACATTTGAAATGCTTAAGCTCTCTGATGTTAATAAATATATACTTTTAAAGCTTTTTAATTTTTTACTGAGGTGAATAAAGGAAAAAGCAGTTTGTTGTTGCGTTTTTGTTAATACTTTTGCCTTACTTTGATTTCATTAAAAAAAAAAAACTATGAACAATTTAGTTTTTTGAATCTTACTCTTACTCCTCTTACTGGTTTCTTGCATCGTTTAACAAAGTTCTTCTGAACTCCACTTTTTCCAGGAACTCAATGCCCGTGTTAAGTTCCCCCAACCAACATTTTTATTGAATGGGTATTCAACAGGAAGTATTAAGTGACACTATTATTTTTTGAAAACTACTTACTCAGTTGATTCACTTTGTACTTTTGTATGTACACTTTTGGCAATAACCTCGACACTGGGTGGGTTATATTTAACAATGCGATGTTCAGTTTTGTTTTTAATATTCAACAAAAAGCTATACTTTTCCTTCAAATTGTTTGGTATATTACAAGGTTTTCGTTCTGGATCTTTTATAAGATTTGAGCATTTTGTCCACTCTGTTAGTTGTCCATTACATAAATAGCCGGACTTGCTAAACAAAATCTGCCGTCCATTACACTGAGAGCAAGGCAATAAAGCTCCAAAAGCCAACATATCTGATAGTTGATTCAAAAGTTTCTCAGAATCGCCTGTTACTGGATCTTGGTTATTGTATTCCAACAAATAAATAATGTCCTTTTTCTGCATTTCATCTGTTACTAAATCACGCAGTTTGAACAAAAGTTTTGACTGTTTTTCTATTAGTTTATAGAGTTCTTCTTCTTCCTTAGAACCATCCTCGATTTTAGGTTTCTTGGACACGCAACCAGTTTCGAGTTTTATAGCCCTATTTTGAATAAAACAGTTAACTTTAAATTTATTTTTAATATTGTTATTAAGCATTGTACCAAGATTAAATATGTTTATTAAGAGAAATGTAAAAAGCAACAAAGTCTAAGCGGTAGAAGTTATAGCAGCTATTTCGAGTATCACGAGGTTTAGACTTTGTTGCTTTTTCCATTTTTCCTAATAAACATAATCGTGGTACAAAGATCAATAACAACATTAAAAATAAAATGTTAATAAGCCACAATAACATATTTAAATTTATTTGTTACGAGTTACATACGGTAAAAGTTTTAAGACGTCAAGTTGGTCTTCCTTTTTAATGCTTTCGAATCCCGGAAGGCAATCTGCTTTATCAAACCAGCCAAGGTCGCTACGTAGCTGAGCGAAACACTCTGCATGATGCCACAATGCTTGACCTCCATACTTCATTCCAACTTCTGTGTCATATACGGTTTTTCGAACGCGTACTTGATCCTTTAAAATTTTTTGGTCGCAACCACGGCAGACTGCTCTACCGGACTTCGCGTACTCGATACCAAAATCTTTAGTTGCAATATTTTCTTTAGCGTTGCGCTTTTTTCCCTTTTTGGTAGAAGTTCCAGCTGATTCCGTGAAACCCTTCTCTGCAAAAAAAGAAAAATAAACAAATTAATAAAAAATATTTAGGTTAATCCGCTGAACGCCAAGGACAAAAAATGTTTCGTTTGGCGAAATAAGACCATTGCTAGAGCACTGATCACCTACAGGAAATCAGGACCTTTACGGAACTGGTTGCGGCACATATCGAAAATCTCATTGCAATGAGTACGACCAGCGATTGGGAGACATCGTTCCAGAAACACTAATTTTTATATGGACTTATTATCGTTGCGTCATTGGTTTTATCTATTTCAAATTTCAGCACTTGAACACGAATGCATATCTTGGTCTAATAAAAATAAGATTGAAAGCAAAATCATCACAGTCTAGCTGGACGAAGTTGGTCCGAAGAAGAATAGCTACGAACGGATATGGAATACGTGAAAACTGAGTACGAATTGAGAAACCCGTGAGTTGGAAACGAGCATCCTTACACAAACCTAGATGTAGATTGCTTATTTTCAATTAATTTCTTCATATCACATAGCTTATACCTAGAGCTGTAGCCAAATTTTTCGGTAATCGCATTAACCTAAACACGCAAACAACACCCCTTTTTAAAGAAGCGTTTTCGAGATTTTTTCGAACTTGTTAACTGTCAAATCAATTTCAAAGGCTATTTATCCAATTTACTTCAAATGTGGAAATAAAATTTATTATAGGAAATGTATATTTCATATTTAGTTTTTCTTCGCGATGTACATAACAAAAGAAACAATTAAGATAAAGTAATTTATAATAAATTCGTCTTGAAGGGCTGCAGCTAATTCAATACGCGCAAACATCAAAACCACTATTTGTGGCTTACTCTTTAAAAATTTTGGCATAAATGTAGAATACCTACAATTCTCAAATTAAAAAAAATCATATTGGGATCGATGGAGATCATTGAGGTGAACGTAACGATATATATATATTTTTTTGGAAACAACTACAACAATTATTAAAAGTCAAAGTTCAAATTAAGCATGTTTTTTAATTAATTTGATATACATATTTATACATATATCTTTTATAGTATTCACAAAAATATAATTAATGTGGAATTCTACTTTGTGAGGGTTATAATCCATAAGCGCGGCCGAAGGCCGCCTACGCAGAAAGGTGTTTTCTGCAAAAGGTGTTCAGTGCCTTTTCTTCGCAACACAGAAAAGAATTCTACTTTGTGAGGGTTATAATCCATAAGTGCGGCCGAAGGCC